CGATGAATCACATTTATTCCTCTTTGGACTGAAATGTGATAGGGGAATCGTCAGCAGAGGTCTGCTTATGAGCTCCCCGAGCCCTCCACAGTGCCCAGTTGGGGAGAAAGATACGCTCAGGGTAGAGTGGAGTGGGCAGGGTCTCTTCTGACTTGGGGAAAAGCATCACCCCCACATCCTCCAGGGACTGAGAGCTTTATGGTAACAGGAGATGTAGATGTTCCCCAAAGCCTGACTTTACCCTGTTTTTGTTTTTGTTTTTGCTTTCGTTTCTGAATCCTTAAGCTTGGCCTTCTTGTATTTTCAGGACCACAGTGCCTTTTCCTGGCTTTTCAACACATGGAATGAGGGGCCCCTGGGTGGCTCAGTTGGTTAAGTGGCTGACTCATGATTTTGGCTCAGGTCATGATCTCATGGTCCATGAGTTCGAGCCCTGCACCAGGCTCTGTGCTGATGGTGCAGAGCCTGCTTGGGATTCTCTCTCCCTCTCTCTCTGTCTCTCTCTCTCTCTCTGTCTCTCTGTCTCTCTCTCTCTCTCTCTCTCTCTGCCCTTCCCCTGTTTGTGCTTGCTCGCTGGCGCTCTCTCTCTCTGTCTCAAAAATAAATCTAAACACGTGGGAATGAAATGTACTTTTTAAGTTTATTTGGTTTACTTTAGCAGCTTTTGATGTAAACTGAGGATATGAGGATAAGAATACTTCAGTGAACCAGTAGCTGTGTCCACACTGTCTTATCCTCTCAGCAAATTAGCACATGGGAAACTATTTAGAGGGGAGAAGGTCATTTTATGGGAAAGAAGATGCTTTCCCTCTTCTCAATTCATGTGGTTTGCTCCATTCCTGACATGGCGGATATTTGCAACGTTTTCTTGGAAAGCAAAATGTCCCACATGAATGTTGCATGGCTTCTTTGGGAAGCTGAAATTCCACATGCTCCTTCGCAGATTATTTTTTCAGATAATTCCACAGATTGCACTGTTTGCTGCAGAAGTGAAATTATCCACAGCACATTGTTGTTTTGTTATCTCAGGAGTGATAATGTTCAAGGTGAACCAGCTAGAGCCTTAGGCAGACACACCTGTTCATTCAGGTTCTTCCATAGCCATTTACCTCTGTGGCCTCCACCTCCCATCCCCACGCCGGCCGAAAACATTGTGAAGTGGGTTACTTTCCTCCCTGATGTCAACAAGAATCGTGCTTGACCATTTGTTGATGGGAGAATAGGAAACTAAAAAGCTGAAGACTGATGAGACTGGCCAGGAGCTGGTCAGCTTTGTAAACTGTGGTCCTCAGTTCAGGGTGGCTTGAGGATAAGAAAGGCTCTTGGACATTTATTAATGTTACTTGTTGACTTCAAAAAATGATCCACAGGGTGAAAGAAACCTCATGTCCAGAGTCAAGGCACAAAAGCAGCATCATCTGGAAAAGGAATTTTTTTAATGAAGCCCAAATATTTAAAGTGATTGATGAATACTTTTGAAACAGCCAAATTAATGTGTACCCCTGAAAGTTACCTGATTTAGAAAATCTGAAAAACTGTGAATTAACCCAGAACAGTGCTCAGAGGATGAAACGGGAGTGTGTCCTTGGAACTCCCAGTGGCCTCCGAAGGTCAGTGGGAACTTGCCTTTTTGAGGCAGATGGTGGATCCGGAAAACAGTTCTCAAAGCGGATGGGGCTTTTTTCTGGAGAAAAGTGGGTAAACAGCTAGGCTCCTTAGTTGTCATTTTCCTTACTTAGAGGAACTTCAGCTGGATTCTGGTCATCTTCTCCCAAAATTTTACAGTTTCTTAGCCAAGAAAAACATGTGTGGTTGAGAAATCTAGGAGTTTTACCCAGTTTCTTCAAAACCCACTCTGCATTGATTTTGGCAGATAGCCACTGGTTAAGCATTGCATTGGTAAGTTAACTTGGCACGCACAGTAATGTCTGGAAGGCTAAGTTGGTATCTGATACTTTGTTCTCTTCACTTGCAATTTTTGTAACGGGTTCATGTTCTTCTAGTATGATCTGGACCACTGGAAGAGACCCCCTCAGTGTTCTGATAATTTGCAGCGTGAATGAGGCCATTTCCCAGATACGTCTAAGTGGCTGGTATGAAAGTGCTGTTGGATTTTGGTATTCATTTCCCTAGCCATCAAGTTTCTCTCCGTATAAATATTCAGTTAGACGACACATGATAAGCACTTCTGAATTGTTTTCCTGTATTCCATACAGGCAGCTGTTAACAGGAAAAATGGGGAGCTCCCTTGAAAGGCTGTGTAACCCTGCATATAATGCACACAATGTGTGGACCCCTGCCTCGGTTATGGCGGGAGTGGTTTACAATGGAATGCTTAGATGCAAAACCCTTTAAATCCAAAGTGCTCCCAAAACTACCAAGGTGACCGCTGAGCTAAACAAGCAAGGTGCTGCCCTGTTGCTGCCAGAGCCTGGATGTTAACACCAGACTTGCTGAGGCTAAGAGCAGATGCCCCTTGCATCTGTCACTGGTCTTTGATGCTGTGGTGTCTTATTTGTTGGCAGTGGTGTTCTCAGTATCAGTGAAGCATTAGGATAAAATGTAAGGAGGTGTAAGGTGATTTAAGTATGGAACAGCGAACACTGTCACACTGAAGACATTCTTGGATTAAAATTTTAATCTGTTCTCTTCCTAAAAGATGGAATTCAGGCATTTGCAATTTATACTTGACTCTGCCTTAGCCCTCATGGCACCTCACCCCATCCTCACAGGGTACCAGTCATCGGCATTTGGTTTCCCATGAGAAGGTGTGAGAAGAGGCCTGCAGGCCTGGGCAAGAGAGGGTTAAATCCGAAGCTAGGTTTCCAGAAATTCAAGGCAGAGCTCTGTGTCACTGCAAACCAACCTATTCATTAGGAATCCTGCTGCATCATCCCTGGAACTTAAATTCCCATTTCCATCTTGGTGGGTATTTTTGGAAGTCAATGAATAGTATTAACTTATGCTCTGGAAAAAAAAAAAAAAAAAAGAATGATCCCGTGACAGATTTAAGAAGCACAGTTGCAGTCGTTCCCATTTTAGATTATAGTAAATTCCTTCTGTGTCAGGCTCGCTTCTTGTGAGTTTTCTCTTCCTCCATCATGCCCATCATCCCTTGGGTGAGTCGTGTCTGTCCCTACTGCTCCGCTCCCACACGCTGCGCCCTGACTTCTGCAGAGCCTCCAGCATGCCTCCAACCAGCCGGAGAGCCTTCTCTCTGCCACCTGCCACCCACTGCCGATCTTCTCCACCCTGTGGTGAAACCTGGGCCTTATTTTCAGCTCTTCTGGGGTAGTGTGTCATTACTTGGAAGAAAATTAGAAAGCATTTTACATTGCTTATTATAAATCATTAATTGAAGCCCCACCAAACCCAAGGAATTTATTCTCTCATTGATGTGTGCGTTACTCCCATTAACATTTATAAAACTGTTTAGAATCAAAGAACCAGCAGGAGCCCGTAACAGAGGATCCATTTTGATCCAGCTTTACAAAGTGACTCATACCCACAGGGCATCAACAAGCATTTTAAATATGATTGTTACAACTTCTTTTTAAGAAATAGAGCAATTACTGAACATGTCATCATAGCACGCTCAAGTCCTTTGGAATAAATGACAGTTGCCAGTTGTACAGCCTTGCCCCACCCAGGCTAGACGTTGCAAGCGTTGTCTGACGTAGGCAGTATCTGCGTTGGAGATATAACCTCTGGCTGCCGCTCCTGCATGCTCCCCTCCATCGGGGGAACGCTGGAGCCTTTGGGACTCAGCATAACAACACTGGACAAGGCCCCAGAGCAGCGGGAAGGGGAGAGAGAAGTAATAGAGGTTTCTTGCTTCACTTGAGCCCTTTGTGCCCTGCCCTACCTGTGTGGTTATCGACAGCTAACATCACTGAAATGAACAGTTGAGAAGTGATAGGATTTGGTCCAGATATTTCTAAAGCTGTTGAAACCCTCCGTTTACCAGTCCTTACTATGGTAGAAGAAACACAAAGAATCGGAAGATGTTGTAGAAACAACTGAAAATAGCCTTAACCTTTCACGTGAAATTCACACACTAGGTGTTAGAACTGTGCTTTCTCTCTCGCTGAATGTATTTGTACAGTGCTTATTTGTTCGTCTTAAAAGCCAAAAAGGAGAGCCTTCCAGTGTGCCCCATTTTTAGGTCTGTGTGTTTCACCCTCTGTCTTCTCTGCTCCTTCCCTACCTCTTCTTCTGCCTGTAATAGGGCATTAATTAGATGGACATTCTCATTGTTTGGAAAATGAGTTCAGTTTGGATGGGAGAGGAGAAGTATTTTCCTATTTATGTCTGATTCGGGCACCCGTTCAGTACCCTTTAGTCTTTCTTAGAAATTTCTGTTAAATTTTATAACACATAGATGAGCACTTGGTTAGCCTAAATGTTGCTCTTTTAAAAGTTAATTTTATTAGGTTTTGAAGTGCTGGCAATAATTGTATTATTTCCCTAAAGACCAGCAGTATCTCACCTAGTTCTGTCCTTGGAATGTCATCAAACCTTGTAAGAACTTTTTGAGTTTCCTCTGCTTTGGTCTGAGGTGGAGAAACAAGTTTTCATTTCTGTAATTGTTAATCTAAGATATTCGGAGGAAGAAAAATACAGAATATCCCTTTAATCACAGAACCTCATTTCTAACCCCCCTAAAAAAAAAAAAAAAAAGAATAAATACACAGTTTCCAAAGGAAGGAAGCAATGCTGGCTATTAACAGGTAGAACCCATCTGGCACTGAATAGAGAGAAACAAGCCCAGAATGCTTTTTATTTATTCTTCACCACAGCACTGGGAACTGGGTCAGGATTATCCTTGTTTTACAAATGAGGCGGCTGGCGCTGGGGAGGCCAGGCCAGCCTTTCTCAAGGCCACAGATCCCGGCCCAGAAGAGGTGGGAGGATTGAGGGCAGGCCTGCACAATTACTGCCCAGCCCTGCCTGCTGCTGGATCTTGCTAGAGTCGGGGTGTGTAGGCTCAGTGTCAGCCCGATGGGTCACTTGTTCCCAGAGACTCAACTTGACCTTCCAGTACCTAACAGGGTGCTTAGAGCATGACAGGCACTCAATAAATGCTTGTTGAATGAAAGTATTGTCAAAGCCAAGTAATTCATTATAATTCATCATCACATCCTTGTGACTACCCTGGCCACTGCCAAATCTGTTTTGAAACCTCTTTGCAGGTGAGTAAAAAATATTTTTTTCTTTCTTTCTTTCTTTCTTTTTTTCTTTTTTTTTTTTTCTTTTTTAATAACATTACCAGAATTTGCCATCTGTGCCACTGTGGCCAAAGGCCTTCGGTGGCCAAGACCATCAGCAAGTCAGAGATGTGCAAATGAAGATACTATATGCAAACTTTCTCTTTGACTTAAGCTTATTTCTAATGATTCTTTTTTCCTGACTTTAAAATTGAACTCACTGTAGAAAATTGGGTGAGCTGTAAAGAAGAAAGTTAAAACATCTCTTAATCACACTGTATTGAGAAAACAATGTTAAGCCGGTATTTTTTCCCCTCTTTTGTTTCGAGGATGTGCATCATACATACATTTACATGGTTTTGATCCTGAATTTAATATTAAATTGTGATCATTTTCTCATTAAATAACAACTATAGAGTTTTACATTGTACATATAGACATAATTTACTTAAACATTCACCATCCTATTTCTATGGAATTAAATTTCCTCACATTTGATATTACAAATAACATGTATTGAATGTTCCAGCATCTGAATATTTGCTTACCTCCTTGATTATTTCATAATGAAAAAAATCAACAGACTTAAAAACATAAAGTTGTTGTGCATGTAAAATCCTAAATAAAATTAAAGACAAACCACAAGAAAAATATTTGCCGCTAATATATTTACATTCTTCACACTCCGTGCTCTGGTTTCCTTTCACTCAGCGTTATTTTCTCTCACATTCTCGTGACCAGGCTTTCAGTCTAATTTCTTGACCATTGTACTGGTATCTCATTTGGTTTAGCTTACCTTCTTCCAGTTTGATATTTAATTCTTTGCTCACATGCTTAATACCACGTGACAGTATCTATCCTGCACTGGGACTACCCACGGACTGTCTGAACGTTGTCATTACATCCGCCTTGAAAGTCCCTGAGTAACCTGTGTACATCTCTCTTGAAAACAACTTAAAGGGGTGCCTGGGTGGCTCAGTTGGTTGAGCATCTGAATTTGGCTCAGGTCATGATCTCACGGCTCGTGAGTTCGAGCCCCACATCGGGCTCTGTGCTGACAGCTCGGAGCCTGGAGCCTGCTTCCGATTCTGTGTCTCCCTCTCTCTCTCTGCCCCTAACCCCCTCGCATTCTGTCTCTGTCTCTCTCAAGAATAAATAAACATTAAAAAAAAAATTTAAAAAAAGAAAACAACTTAAAAACAAGTAAATAAATTCAAACTGCTGTGCACTATGTCAAGCACTAAAGGGGACATTTTAAAATATGACATAGCCCCTGCCATTGAAACATTTCCAGTCGGCTTGGAGACTCAGCATGCCCACATGATAAGTAAACCTGGTGGACACAAGAGATATTGAATACAATTACCAGAAATTTCTATGTAGTAAACCATACCCACCTTCCTTTGTTTTCTACCATTTCTTCAGTTTCATTGGCCTACACCTTTAACACACCTGAATCTCAACTCCTCGTGACCCTGCACATGGGGTGATTTCAGCCACTGTGCTGTGGTTGTATTTTTAAAGTTTTATCCAAACGTTCACCATGATGGCAAGAATTCTGTTTTGTTCATTATTGTATCCCTACCCCTCAGAACAGGGCCTGGCAGGCAATATGTGTTCAGTTGGCATTTATTGGACATATGAACAGAAAGTATGCATCTTTTTTCTTCAAGCAGAGATTATTGGCAAACATATATTAGGTTGACAATAAGTATGGTTGGGCCAAAGGAGAGGTTGGGGTGGGCAAGAGTTCTAGCTTAAATGTCAGATCAATGGGAGTTCAAATCCTGGGTCTGCAATTTACCAGCTTTGTAACCTTGGGCAAGTTAATTAATTTTTTCCACACTTCCTTAGCTGAAAAGCACAGATTAACAGAACCTACTCTGTGGGTGGTTAATAAGGATGAAGTGGGGTCATTTATGTAAAGCATGGCACAGTACCTGGCACATAGGAAGTGTTTGGTAAGTGCCAGCTATGATTATTTACAAATGTTTTCCCTTCCTTTTGATCCTTAATGTCGTCACACTGCAACCTGTTCTCAGGGACATGGAAGTACAAACTGATTCATGATGAGGAGTAATACATCATAAACTTTGGAGTCAGGCCTGGCTGTGTAAGTCACTTAACTTCCCTGCACTTAAGTTGGTCAGCTGGAGACATACAGCTTAAGCCATGCAGAGGGCCACTGTGAGAATGAAATGAAATAATGTACACAGAGTGCCTGTCATGTGCCCAGTAAGGGCTCTTCCCCCTTTTTTGTCTTGGCTCAGTTAGAGCATCCCTCTGTGATTTTGTACCAAGCGTGTATATGTCTCTCCAGTGTAGTGCTTGTCAATTTATTTTTGACCTAACACACAGAATATACTACATTTTTACATCACAGCCATATCACATGCATATGTGATTGAAAAAAAGCTTTTTCTCACCAAATAATACTATGTATGACCCCTATATTGGGTGGCCTAGGCTGCCACACAGACTGAGTGGCTCAAACAACAAAAATGTAGTTTCTCACAGCCTGGAAGTCCAAGATCAAGGTGTTGGCAAGCTTGATTCCCTCTCTCCTTGGCTTGCAGGTGGCCATCTTTGCCCTTTGTCCCTCACATGGGACATCTGCTCTTCTGTGCATGTCTTAATCTCCTCTTATAAGGACACTGGTCATATTGGATTAGAGCCCACCCTGAGACCTCATTTTACCTTAATTGCCTCTTTAAAGGCCCTGTCTCTAAACACAGTTACATTCTGAGGTGTTGCGGGTTAGAACTTCAACACATGAAATGGCAAGGGGGAAATAATTCAGTCCCTAACAGTGCCCTCGATATTTTTCTTTTATTTTATCAAAGAAATGCTAGGCACAACCAAACTGAGTAGGTTTTTGCAGCCCATTATGCTGATTACCAGACCGCAGGTTGAAAAAGGCCCTGCTCTAGTGGGTTGTGTGGGTTTAGTAGGTTAGTGTGAAATTGGCACCAGCATTAGGACTTGCATTTGACTGACTGCAGAGACAGCTTCAGAAGCTCAAAACAGAGAGTGAGATCAGAGGGCACAGCCTTCCACAAATACATAACAGTTACCTGAGCTTAGGACTTGGCAAATCTCTGTAAATAGCCAAATGGTAAGTAGTTTGGGCCTTGTGGGCCATATAGTCTTTGTCAGACAACTCTGTTGTATCATGACAGCAGCCAGACACGATAGGTACACTAGTGGGTATGGCTGTGTTCCAATACAACTCCATTTATAAGCACTGAAATTTGAATTTCTTATAATTTTCACATGTCATGAAATATTCTTTTCATTTTTTCCCTAAGAACTTAAAAATGTAAAAACCATTCTTAGTTCATGGGTTGTGTAAAAGTGGGCAGCGGGCCAGATGTGGCCCACAGGATATAGTTTGCCTATCCCTTCCCTGGCTGATAAAGCCAAGTCATTTAGCTAAGAGGCTGTCAAGGAATTTGGCCTGGATGGTTTTCTTCAGTCCATGTAAGTGCTGGAAAATCTCTGTGGTTACTCATGATAAAAGATATATATCTAAAAAGCAAGGGTTTTGTTTGTTTGTTTGTCTGTTTTTTTTTAACCAGAGGGATCTCTATCTGGGGATGTGGAAACATTCTTAAAGTGCCCACAAAGTCATTGTCAGGCAGCAAAATTAGGAATAGAATAAGCACAGAAAGTCTGCACAAAAACAACAGAGCTTGAATCTAAAAGGAGTCTCCTTTGTGAAGTTGCTATTGAGGGAAATGTAGTGGCCAGAGAAAAGCCCAGGTTTCTTCAAGATGGTTGGAGGATAACAGCTCCAGGGCCCTGGTCCCCATGCTTTCCTCTCAGGGTGAGAGTGAGTGAGGTTTCCTTCCTTCATAGGAGCCGCACATCCTCCAGAGTCTTCTCATGCGGTTTCTTTCCCCACTCAACATGTAGGCCATGGTGGGTGTGGCCATCTTTCACTTCCTGTGGGACTGCCTACAGCCTCAGGATGCCATGTAAGTGCCCAAATAAATCTCCCTACCGGAGGATCCGAGAGAACAAAGCTGTCTGAGAAAGCCAAAAGTCTGACCATATGGTTTTTTTGCTCCAAGGGATTTATTTCAGTGGTAGCTAGAGCAGTTGTACAGAGCGTGTGTCGAATGACGATGAGCTCTCCTCTCACCAGGCACTGACCAGAAGGGGGAGAGGGCCTAGCAGAAGATGGGGGGTGAGCTGCCCCCAGGACTAGGCGACAGAATTCTCTCTCCAACCGTATGATGCTGCTGCTCTGAGGTAGGTCAAGACTCTACCTGATGACCATGGACATTGCACAGTGGGAATCTGAAGAGCCATAGAAATTGGCAAAGACTGGAGTGGTGTCCGGGGAGTTATTTTCAGTATTTTAGATGGTCAGGGGGAAATTATACATTTATCCACAACCAGGTTGCGAAGGCAGACTTCAACTGCTGTGGCTTCCATTGGCAGGAATGAGCTAATCTCACGTGGTGACTCTGGAAGGGAAATACTGAGTGCCACAGAAAGAAAACACCTTTATCCCCAAGACTTTCTCGTTTAGGGATTCTTCAGATGGTAAACCAGAACCAGGACCCAGAAAATTGTTTTTTTAATTGACATGAAAAAATTGGTCTTAATATCTAAATTTTTGCTTTAAGAAATCAGATAAAATTAAAATGATTTGTATTATTTTATTTTGGAAACTGTTTGCTTCATTCAATCCCGAGATACGACAATACAAGAGCTTTGGCATGAGAGTCATCTTAAGTGAATAAAAAACACAATTTAATGAAATGGCATTTTTGAAGCTTTTAGCAGAGCAAATTTTTAAATTATCTTGCTTAAATTAGATTGCTGTGCTGTCTTCTTTCAGTACTTATAAGAGCCCTGTTTTGTTTCTGGTTTCACTGCATTAACCACCAAGATTTTTTTTTAATTGATGTATAACATTCACACAGAAAAGTACAGAAATTAAGTGCACCGATAACTGACTTTTCATGAAGCGAACA